CCTACAAATGTACTTCGTATCACCATGAATGTTGGCAATGAAAGTTTACTATGTTCAGACTACTTGGAAATTTTTCAAACAAAAAGCAAACAAACGATTCTACAATTGTGTTCAAATGAATTGCTGTACAAGTTTAGAAAAGTGGCATATCAATATTTTATATTATTGGGGCGCACTTTTTATTTGGACAGTAATAATAAATCATTATTGTTCTGCAGCCGGTTGTACGACCGTGTCTTTAGTCTAATGAGTCATTAAGTCTTCATTAGCCTAATGCATCATATGAAGACTTAATGACCCATTAGGCTAATGACACGTTCGTACAACCGGCTACAGGTTAAACAGTTAGTTTATTTTAGTTTACTATTGTTTATATGTTAATGGACACATTATCCAAAACACGCAAGAGAAACAAAATGATCGATACAAACATAAATCGAATAAAACCGACAATACAATTGCAGAAACAAACCGACGATTTCAGGAGCTCCGGAAAGGCAAACAGATTCTGTTCAACTTGTAGCACCCTTCGTGTTGCTCATCTGTGACACATAAATTCCATAACTGTCAATGGAATCATTATTGCACGCGTAAAACTTTCGACTTCAACTCTAACACTAGAACCCTTGTTAATAACCATTTTTGTACTGGAAATGTTGTGAAAATATTCAACAGGGTGTCTGAGAACAAATTGAAAGCATAGTAGGGTAATATAAGAGCTAGGTAGGATATGAGATGTATAAAAACATAAAGCACCAAATCTGTGTAAATTTCTGATCGCTCGCTTGCATAAAATGCTTTTCATAGATTTTATGTTTTTAATATTTCAAAAATAATATCACTCGCTAGAAAAAAATACTTTCGCCTGCCAAAAATCAAACTTCGAAAAAAAAATCGCTCGCTCGCTACCATTTTTATGCCCCCGCTGTAGCATTAAGTGTTACCCATGTCCGTCCGTCCGTCCCGTCTATCCCGTCCGTCCCGTCTGTCCCGTCTCTCCGTCCCGACCATCCCCAAAATTTGTTTCCGTTCTCCAACTTTAGTTTGCCTCAACCAAATATTATAAAACTTATACACAATGCATATTACCACAAAACACAGATCAAGTTCGAAATTGGGTGGTGTCACTTTTACCGTTCATGAGTTATGCCCCTTTATAAATGAAAAAATGGCTAAATCTGTCGTTTCCTTTCTCTAACTTTAGTTTGCCTCAACCAAATGTTGTGAAACTTATGCTTATAATCACAAAACAGTCTTAATTACCTGAATCCTGCACCTGTATGTGGAAGTTGACTCATGCGTTTTTACAAGCGGGGGCATCTGTGACCCATAGACACATTCTCCATTTATTTAAGGAAAGAAACCGATGAACTAGAAATTAATTTGGTGTGGCCTAAGTGTAAGTTATTTACTTTCAAAAAATCAATGTCAACATGACTGTGGTCTTTCGGAGGTAACCATACTTTAATACAAAATAAAACATATAGAGGAGAGAAATTATTTTCCTCTTTATTGTTATAGGTTCTTTACCTGACATAGATGAAGTGAACGTGACCCGAGAGGCATGTTTAGAAACTGTCGATGGTATCTGTGAGGAGAAGATTGCTATAGAAATTGTTAACTGCTCACAAGGATTTTATGTTTATCACCTTCCAAATACCACAACAAATTCGGCTTACTGCTTCGGTAACTTAATGAACAAAATGAGGTTTTTGTTATTTTATTTCTATTTTGATATTCCTGACAAAACGGTATAAGAACATTATAAGGATTTGTATACCATGCCTCAGGAAAACATCCTATATTTTCATTATGTTGAAATCATCTGTACTACTAATTACATCTGAGTCTAAAATATGACTAAAAAATACATCCTTTGAAACGCCCCCTTTTCAACCATTTACCGGTATATATATTTTTTCGATATTCAGTTGCAGACCCTCGGGGCATTGTTGGAATTTAAAATAATAAATATCATTGTTTTTAAACATTAAACAGAAATTAAGCCTGTTTTAAAATTAAATTTACCGATTATAGTTTTAATTCGTGATTAAATTCAACTTTTTTTATTATTAATAATTTTCAAGGAAGTGGACCTGTGCTTTGTGCTGATGGTTTGTCCTCAGAATCTGGTTATTATCCTGGATGTTCTTGTAAGTATATAGTTATTACAGATTAGGTGAGTACCGAAGTATTGATAACACTTAGTGTAAACAATAGTTTATTCAAATAAATTGAATTAGATTAGACAAAAGGCTAAGCAATTGGAAGTTCTCTCCACACAACAAGGTACTCTTAATTACATTTAAAACAAGACAACACACAAACAAACACAATAACAACACAATTATTCATTTCAAAATTACCTGATAGCCAACTAGAAGAATACTTCAAATAATTAACATATAATAATCTAAATAATATGCTAGGTAACAAATATTGATAAAGATGCACATATCCATATAAAATTATATGATATTACAGTCTTCATCCTTCCTCAAATTACAAATTTAGGACATAATCTGTATGATTGGTTAATTTTTTGTTCCGGATAATCAATTATTCAGATTGGGCAGTGGTCAATCTTTGATTTGAGAAGTTCAGAGGCATTATATTTTGCAACGGATATCATCGATGATTGATTGGTGTTTAACGTCCATTGGATAGTGACAAACACATACTCGTGGCATCGAAATTATAAATGAAGAAAGTGGCAGGGTTTTAAATGTTTGTAAGTGCCTTTTCCTCCCCAATCCTGGGACTGTAATGTAACAACACAACATAAGAACAAACTGTAAAAATAACTGAAAGTAAAAAAAAAATAAAAATGAATAACTGAAAGTCCAAAAAAAATGTAACAAGAAAAAAAAAAACCTAAAATTACGCGCAGTAACTGAAAGCTAGTTCAAACCCAAATTTTAACTTATAAATAGATCATACTCTTCCAGCTTTTAATCATGTACCTTTAGTACAATATATGATATCATATATCTCATAAGTGTTTTATATGTATTACATCTACTTACAGAAACATGTGTTGGGCACAACAGAGATAGTCTAACATTTGTTTAAGTATCTAGCCTTTTAGGTATAAGTGTTTTATCATATATTTTTCAGCATCGTTTCCAAATGCAACGGCCTATCCTGTCGTAGAAGTCATATTGGTAGAGGGACCCGTTTACAATGTTACAAATTACGAAACGACACCGAGTTTATCTTCAGCGTTTCAATGTAGCTTCGAGGTTGGACCACAAGACTCCTTTGTCTATGATATTTACTGGTATATTAATGGGAATACTGTGACGGTCTATAAAAGTATTCCGAACAGTAACATAAGCGGTACAATCTTGAAGGACGATGACTGGAAAGAAAAATATCAGATGAATATGAATGTACGTTAACACTATAAAAATTAAACACTATCATGTTGAAGATATTACGAATCTCTCTCATATATTCATTGTGTAAATTGTAAAAATTCTATTTCCAGCAGTTAAAATCTTTATCAGCTTTAATTATAACGGAAAGATAGACATGTATTTAAAATGCATATTGTTAACAAAAGCACTCGCAAAATCGCGAGGCATATGAATTGGATTATGTCCATTTTCAAATTTCACATGGCCGCATGATACAAGATAAAGAATGAAAAGTGTGGATAACAAACTACACTGTACTTTCTAGCATTAAGACTAATAGTCGTACCAATTAATTCAATCTGAGAGAAAAAAAAACCCGGTTTTTTTAACTCTTAGCAGGAAATACCGGTATATTTTGTAATTGCCTTAAATGGACAATCATATTTGCCTGTTTCTTGTAGGTAACATGCTCTGTACGGATAAGATACAGTGTAGGATCTTTACCAGGTCCATTTCACAAAAGTACAGTATACAAGGCAGGCTTTTATGTAAGTTGAATTATTAAAACGATTTCCGCTTCTTTTTTGTATTTTTAAATATGTTGTTATAAATAATTTTTATTTCAGTTAAAATAATAAACATAAAAATGAATATAAAATTTTCAGAACCTGACGATTTTATCAACATTCATCAACTATGCCAGGGTTATGATTTAGTATGTCAAACTTGTGTTTTGTCTACTCAAGACTCATGAAAGATGTACGAATCAAAACAGTAGGGTGGCTAAATTATTTATAGGAAATGCCTGTGATCATTGATATATCATGTTCCCACATAAGCATTGATGATATACTCGCGGATGGACGAACATCCACCTGCAGTTGCATCGAGCGAATGTTTGTAAAAATTCAAATATACAAGTCTTATAACTTAGTACACCTGAAGCATATTTCGTCTTCCTAATACTCATCATGCAGTGGCTCTAGAATTACAACAATAGGAACGACAAACCATCAACAAACTTAATGAGCTATAAACACCAAGCATTCAAAAAAGTTGTGCCAAATCTGGCTGAGGCTGTAGAAAAACCTGAGTGTGTCGAAAATTTTTAAAATTGTTTTTAATATGTATAAGGAAATTTCTATAAAATAATCTCTTCAATGTTATTAAGGGTTAGCACACGAGCGCTGGATAACTAGCTGTCAATACTCTCTATACGGAACGTCCAACACCAGTGGCATCGACCCAGTGGGTGTAAAGATTCATCATAGATATTAGCAATAGAATTTAGAACTCGTCTAAAAAATATTCGGCAGTTGCGCTCGAATCAAAACAGAAAGAATGAGAAATCAATTAAAAGACGGATAGCATTAACAGTTAAATAACTTTCAGGTTGTGCCAAATCTGGCTAATGCAATCTTAAGGCAATCTATGCCTTTGGTATAAACTCTTGGAATTGTGGAACTAAATCTTTGCGTGAACCTAATCTGTTGATCTGACAGACTTTAAGTAATGTTGCAGAATTTATGAACCAGTTGCTTCATACGTAAAACAATTGTGTTTATAAATTTCAAAAGAAGGAAAAAACATATCGTAGCACTGAATATCATTTATTTTTGTTTTGCATCATCTCCTTTTTAGCCTGAGAAATATAAGTATAATGTAATAGAAGGTGAACACGTAAACATAGATTTCACTTCAACAGTTCCTATTGGATGTATAGCATCACATCCTGACATACTATCCACTTGCTATCAGAATTTTTATATATACCAACCTCAGTATGACAACGATGAACCTGTTCGTTGTAAAAATAACATCGTCAATAGAGACGTTGTCTTCAGAACAAATTTCTGTGGAATTAAAGTAGGACATCTTGATTGGAAGGAGAAAAAACGTTTACAAGTCTATGGTTTCAGCGATGGTCTCTACAATCACCAAGACCGATCAACCGTCATCAGATTCTCGGCTACATCTGTATCTGATGTCAATTATATTTGGCAAAACATCAAGATTCCCGATATCAAGGTATGTACTGTCATTACTATTTACAGTATAATTTTATCTCTATTTTAGTTATAAGTGTAAATTAAGCCACTAAATGATTTGTCTGTAATAAATATTTATAGATTATCGTTGATCATCTCAACGAGATTGATTTTCTCGCTTGAGCTGGTACAGCGAAAGTGCGAAAAGCAATCGAGTTGAGATGACCAATGATAATCTGTTTATCGCTATTTTACCTATGATGACATTGTCAATTTCACTGACAACGCCACGTGCTCCCTTAGTTTCTAGCGATAATTTTTCATATCACTCTACTGTGCTGAGAAAGGAAATTATCAGTCAGTAAGATCAAAGGAAAATTTCGTAAAATAGCGATAAATATAGATTCTTACATTGATACCAGTGGATTATCGGATTTATCCAATCGAGATAGTTAAATTATCAATTTTAAAGTCTGAGCCTTGGCGAGGACTTTAAAATTTATAATTTAACTATCGAGATTGGATAAATCCTATAATTCACGAGTAACTATGTAAGAATCTGTTTCTCTAATGATTAAAAAATACATTTTCATTTTTTGTTAAACCAAAACCCCCTTCGAGTGCCTTCCACATTTCACAAAGTTGTCAATTTCATTAACACCTGTTAGCATTTTTTGAGCTGATAAAGGTTATGACCCTTAAATTCATCCAATCATCTTCTGAGATCACCGGCAACCACACGTTGATTAAATTTTTTTATACAATGAGTGCAGAAAGGTATAAATTGTCAAAGAATTAGAGAAATTATATTATCCGAAAAGAGCAATTTTCAATTATGCACAGAAAATATCATTTTGAAACAGATGCCAAAGACGAAATTTGGCATATGCATGTCTATAAACATGACAACAATGTTTTCTTTTTCATCAAAGGGGACATATCCCCTGAATACGGAATGTATTTGTCAGTAAAATATAAAAGAGGATATATCTGTTGAATTTTAATTTGTAAACTTACTTTCAACATTCCAGCAGCGCATGCATACGGAGTATATATCTCCAAGTTGATACGATATTCCAGGGCTTGTATTTCCTATCATGATTTCCTTGATAGAAGGTTGCTGCTCACATGGAAGCTATTAAACCAAGAGTTCCAAGTGGTGAAGTTGAAATCATCCCTTCGTAAATTTTACGGACGCAATCACGAGCTGGTTGACCGTTATGAAATATCCGTTCCACAGATGATAGCGGATACGTTCCAAATGTTGTAATTACAATCCTTTCCCCTTTTCCCCGAATGTGACCTACCGAATTAGACTTATTCTTTCAAGTATAAATAAGAAGATGTGGTACATATATGAGTGCCAAAGTTTTTTTTTTAACTTTCTCAACGAAATTTCTATGGTATACCTGACAAATAAAATGCATGCATATTTTTGATAATAGGTTGTAGTCAATTTAATTTGATAGTTCTTTTTTCGTTTATCAGTGTATCTATTGCAACCAAAATTCAGCTGATTTACTTAATATTCATATTAATAATATGAACACGTGAATAAAACAATCAGAAGGATGAGCAGGTTATACTTTTATAAAACACATTAGACATGTTAGAGTAAAAATTAAAATAAAAGTAAAGACTTTGAAATAGTAAAGCCCCAAACCCTCGTATTATCTCCAGTGACCAAGACAATTCAGCAGTTCCTACTTCATGTATTTATTGTGTATAGGATTTACTATAATCCGTTGTCTTTTGCTGTCCAGAAGGGTTCTTTAAATAATTCAACAGGAAAACATTTTATTGTAAAAAAAAATGGTCAGAAAGTGCTTCAAGTCTTCAGTCATTATAACTTGTTTTCAAAAATTAAAATTCTGTAATTTAAGGAATCCCAAACAATTTATGTAGGTCTGGGCCAAATGAATTGCGTTTTAACGACAGGATATATGCTAAAACATCGTAATTCATCGAAATCTGGGAACTAACAAAGGAGTCCAATAGCAGATGAAATGATATTTTGAACTCAAATTCGTAACTTTCGTAATTTTTATTCGATTTGCCTTCATTATATAGTTTAAAAATAAATGTAAGGTATTTTAAAATGCATTGGAATAGCCAATTTCTGTCAGTTAGTGAGCGATACAACCGATTTGAAGAATGTAGTTCTTTTTGTGTCTAGCTTATTTGTTTCTTCTTTATCACAGTTAACTGTTATAGACAAAGACTCTGCTTTGACGAGCAGAATGTGCCAGTCTTACAATGACCCTCATATCACAACATTTGATGGTAGAGCATATCATTACATGGATATTGGCGAGCATGTAATTTATAGAAATGATAGAGGACCTTATTGGGTAAGACGTTTTATTCGCTTTGCTTAATTTATGTTGTGGTGCAGGTATTCCCAGTGTACATTACGACCAGACACTTTCAAGGTTTTGAGTAATACAAAAGTAACCAGTCTTTTATCCAATAGTACAATTTATTAGTAAAAAGAGTGTCCGCTTTCCCTAACAGCTACTTTCAAATTCACGCAAACGTTTGTTTGACGTCATGTTATTTAACAAGATTTTCAGATATGCTTTGAAAGTAAAAAATGGTATAAACTACGTGTTGTGATATAAATTGCATTTTTACTTTTGATGTTAAAATGAAATAATTTGCTTAAAAAGTGTGTTGAGGGAAAACCATGGTCTATTAACTGCAATTTGATGGTGTACCATACTTTGATAACTAAACATGAAACACAACTAGAATCTAAGAGGAAAAAAGGCGGAGCTTATAGCTATAGTATAACATGTTCATTTTGATGTTATTTCATGGCTGAAGCTCCACCCCATTTTCTGAAATATATCAGCCTCTCAACTATTAAGGAACTAATTATAGAGAGAAACAACTTTTGTAATATATTTGTTGTCTTTAGTTTTTGGTAATAGTTCTTATAAATGTGTTTTGCCGCTTCTCGAGAATTTGTATACATATAGATTCTACCACTGCATCGAGTGTGATACGATATTTATCCACTCGAGACAGTTTAATTTTCAAACTTAAAACGCGAGGCTCGCCGAGCGTTTTAAATATTTAAAATTTAACTGTCTCGAGTGGATAAATATCGTATTACACGAGATTTGGTGGTGGAATCTGTTTCTCTAATGATTTTCAAACAACACGCGGGCAAATTTATTCCTTCTTTACGAATGATCTGCAAAAAGGTGTGTTCTTTCTATGTGACGTCATCAGGCATGGTCGCCTTTTTTCATGCCGTCACAATAGGAAATTCAGAGGAAACAAGGAAATTTGACGTCATAATCGGATTTTAACCAATGAAGAACTGAGATCAAACGAACCACACGTTGATTAAATTTTTTTTATACAATGGGTGCAGAAAGGGATAAATTGACGAAGAATTAGAGAAATATGATTTTAAATGAGAACCATTAACAAACCCTACAAAAACCGTTAATACGAAAAGTTATAAGGTAAATTTACGCACTTTTTCGAATGAAATGAACAAAGTGTGGAATAAAAATGATTGTACAATATCTTGAAAATTAACAATAAAACAAAACTTACAATCATTAGAATAATGCTTAATATCCTTGTCAGAGATGGATTAAGAAGGAGGTGTGGTTTAACCATATATGAAACTGCAAATATGGATAATGCATACAGTTTTTACATGTTCCACTCATAATGGTTGCTTAGTTTGTTCCCCTTCCCCATCTGCTGGTTACAAATCTGCATGTGTACCAGACCGCCATTGTAATTCAAATACAATAATGACTTGCGGAGCCGCCATCTCATTGGATAAATTCGTACCGAGGTCATTGGCTAATATCAGTTCAAGCTGTCAATCATTTTATCTATATAACAAATTATATATACCACGTGTCTTACTCTTTCGGATTCGTTTGTTTAGATATGTTAATTCGTAAGAACCATGGTAAACATAGTACTTAAAATTTAATGCTTTATTGGCTCTTCCTGCTTTTAAAACAATCTACTGTCTTATTTTATTTTACCTTTTCCTTTGTCAGGATGAAATTCATTTCCAGTAAGCAACTAAGTTAGGTGTAATCAATTAATATTTTCCATTTCCGCCTTAACGGACATGTGCATAAAACGTACATGTATCAAGCATTTATGGATGACGAAGATCCTACATTTTTCAAGTATTAGGTATTTTGAATATATGTAGGTACATGCTTTGTTCACCAACTGTGGATTTGGTTGGGCTGGATCTGCATGCCACTGTGGAATAGCTATCAGGAGCAGACAGTCTTTGTTTGTACTGAGGACATGCAAAAAGATTTCACGAACAGAAAAATACCTACTAGATCAGCCTATAACTGAAATCCGAACATGTGTTGATAGTGATTTGTCAGTTGTCAGTAGCGGTAATAGTTACACGGTAATTTCGATTTCTTTTTTTACAATATATAGATTATCGCAGAAAACAAAGACAAATGAATGAATGAAAACACATTTCTTTAATTGTAAAATCACGAAAATATTATTATAAGGGCTGTTTCCCAATTGTCAATATCAACCTTTCTCATAAAAGTCACTTGCTTTTGTGACTCAAGTGAACCTGATTTCAAAAATCCTATAATTAAATAAAACGTGTGACAAGAGTGCTACTCTTTAGCGAAGTATCCCTACCGCTTTTGTAAGTGTGCAATATATTTATGATTCAATATGTTTATAGTAAAGTAACTTTGGGAAACATATTTTTAATTCTTAATTCTTAAAATTCTTTACACATTATTATAGATAGACACATTCGGTTGTTCATTTGATATATGCAGAAGTCTCTTTGAATATTTGCTAAAGGTATACTTCTAGTGCTCAGTGGGTAAATGACCTTGTATGGTAACACCATCTATGTAATAAATGATACTAGAGTGAATCCAAGATCAGACTAAAGATATATAATAATGCTATATAAACTCTAAAAATAACTGTCATATTTCCGGACATGAACTATTCTTGTAGTTTATTTAGTTTTATACCTCTTGTGATGTCAAATATACAAAATATTTTGAAAACATCAAAATCAAAAGAATTTAAGAACAGACAAACTGTTGAACGTCAACCTTGGCCTATGGAGTAATAAGACAAATTATTCAGCCAATAGAGAAGTAAGTTGTGTACCAAAAGTTGGTGCCAAAAATGCAATTTTCAATTCTTTCAATGAAATCCAAGAGTAAGACTTTTGCACTGTGAATTTGTATTTTATTTCTAAAATTATATCACAATTTCATTTAGGTCACATTACCCATAGGAACGGAAATCAAATTTACCGTGTCTACTTATTCACGTTTCATCACAATGGTATCTGTTAAGCCCTCCATTTATGACATAAATGAAGCAAGAGGTCTTTGTGGAGTTCCAAGTGCCATTAAAGACCCATCTGATGATTTTTTTCACCGTGAACAAGGATCTATAAACAACGATCAGGAGTTTGCCCGTTCTTGGAAGTAGGTGCAATGTTTTGATGACAAGTCAGAATACTTGATATACTAGTATGTAAAACATGTCTTCAACCAAATTTGATCTGTAAAATATAGAAGGTAGGGAGTCTAGATATTTTCAAGGAAGATAACTATTGACGCGATGATGAACGGTCCATGTTCGTTGTCAGTCTCCTTTGGGGGACTGTTCTGACGGAATCCAATCTATGGAACAAAAAAAAAAAATAGAACGTTCTAAAAATTAGCATGCAATTAATAGTCGCATCACAAAACACATGTTGAACTGTATTTCTATGAAAAAGTTGTTGCCCACATTAAGGCACATTTGAACTGCACGTTGGGTTGATGGGACACGTTGCTATGCAATTCCGAATAACTGGAAGTGATTATTGTCGAGCCTGCGATTTCTGTCGCAGAAAGCCCGGCATAGGGATCGTGATCTGGTGGCGGCGGCGGCGGCGTTAACTAACTTCTTAAAGCTTTATATTTTAGAAGGTGGAAGACCTGGATGCTTCATTCTTTGTATTTAGATGTCTTATGTTATGAAGTTCCGTCTGTCATATGACATGGCCCTTGACCTCATTGTCATGGTTCAGTGACTACTTGAAAAAAAAGTTCAGATTTTTTGTCATATTAATTTCTCTCTTATTATGAGTAATAGGATAACTTTATTTAGTATATGCGTACCTTGCAAGGTCCTCATGCTTATCAGACAGTTTACATCTGACCTCGACCTCATTTCATGGATCAGTGAACATGGTTAAGTTTTCGTGGCCAAGTCCATATATTAGATACTATAAGCAATATGTCAACTATATTTGGTGTATGGAATGATTGTAAGATGTACATGTCATACTGGCAGGTGTCATCTACCCTTGACCTCATTTTCATAGTTCAGTGGTTAAAGTTAAGTTTTTGTGTTTTGGTCTTTATTTCTAATACTATATGCAATAGGTCAATTATATTTGGTGTACGGAAATATTGTACGATGTACATGTCAGTCTGGTAGATTTTATTTGACCTTGACCTCATTTTCACGGTTCATTGCTCAGTGTTAAGTTTTTGTGTTTTGGTCTGTTTTTCTTAAACTATAAGCAACAGGTCAACTATATTTGGTGTATGGAATGATTGTAAGGTGCATAGGTATGTCTGGCAGGTATCATCTGACCTTGACCTCATTTTCATGACTCATTGGTTAATTTTAAGTTTTCATGGTTAACTTTGTTTTCTTAGATACTATAAGCAATATGTCAACTATGTTTGTTGTATGGAATGATTGTAAGGTGTATATGTCTGTCTGGCAGGTATCATCTGACCTTGACCTAATTTTCATGGTTCATTGGTCAATGTTATGTTTTCATGGTTAAGTTTGTTTCTTAGATACTATAAACAATAGGTCAACTATATTTAATGCATAGATTGATTGTAAGGTGTACATGTCTGTCTGGCATGGTTCATCTGATCTTGACCTCATTTTCATGGTTCATTGGTCAATGTTAAGTTTTCCTGATTAAGTTTGTTTCTTAGAAACTATAAATAGTAGGTCAACTATATTTGGTGTATGGAATGATTGTAAGGTGTACATGTATTTTCGGTTTAGTTTATCTGACCTTGACCTCATTTTCTTGGATAATGTTAAGTTTATGTGACACTTGTGGTAAAGCTTTATATCTAAAACATAAAATTAATGGACAGTCAAGCAGGCGAGACAGTATGGCGATAATCATAGAAATAAATTTTAATTTCTATGAAAAATTATTTATTACAAATCGCAGAATGAAAAGCCTATCATAAAGCATTCAAAAAATAACATTACATTACATGTATTTACGTTGTCATTTTTCATAAGAAAATCAAATTTTATAATAAAATATTTTGTTCTCAAATTAATATTGATGAAAGCTTTAATCTAATTACTCCCTTGGCGTTAAACATCACTAAAGAGATATTTATTTTCGAAATGTGCAGTTTGTGCAATTACATTTTTAACGTTAATGTTATTATTTTGTGTTTTATCAAGAAAAAAAGTATATAAAAATTCGAATTTTAGATGTTGAACACAACATTTCAAAATATTCTTATAAATTTCACTATCATATTAACTAGGGAATTATAAAATAGTATAAGGGGATAATATTATAAGGACATACGATGCAGTTTTGATCCCAAGGTGATTTCTTGACGAACACAATCCTTTTTGCACCTAGTCAACTCAATTACGTTATGAAAAATATACTTTCATGGGCTACTTTTACAGATATTTACTCAATTTATTTTTTACATTTCTATCCCATGAACAGACATATCATACTATTTTGTTTCAAAAGATATACAGAAGCAATTTTTTGTCAAAACCTTTTGAATATCTTCTTTATATAAGTACAACTCTCTGAAATTATTAATTCTTATATCATTGTCACGATTTAAAAAAAGAATTGTTTAAATTTTCGTTAGCTACATCATTATCTTTGTAACTGTATCGTATGCCCTTAAAACATGCATACTGACATCAAGGCTTATATTGCCTTCAGAGACTGACAAAAAAAATGAAAACAATTGAGGCTTATATTATAGTTAACATGTAATGCATGTGAAAGTTACTAATATAGAAAGTTATAACTTAAAAAAAATGTTGCATATACGTCTTATGATATAAATATATATTATGTTGAATGTGATTGTTTTCAGGATTCATCCTACTTCAACTCCGAAAGAACAGCTCTTCATACCAAATCCTCATTTTCTTTCCGAGGAACCCAGCATTGAAATTGAAATTAAAAACGACAACTCAAATGCAAACGTGACGACAGGAACCTATTGTATTTGTGAGAAACAAGCAGGAACAGCAGACGACCAGTTTTATACTGCTCAGTGTAGTCTGTCAGACAGTACACAGTATTGTCCTTCTGATGAACAATTGTTACCTGGGAATGAAAAACAAAATAATCCAGTTCTAACAGTTTGTACATCAAGCAGGCAGAGAAGATCGTTGTCGCATAGAACTCGACGTAGCATTACAGATACCGATGATGTTGTTTTGGACAATGACTCCTTGGATTACGATGATGACGTTAACGACACTTTCACTGTAAGGCAATTAGATCGTAAGACTATTAAGATGGGGTTGATACTGTGTAAAGGAAATAATTGCAACCGTCATAATGAGCTTGCATACAAGTTCCAATGATGACGACCTCAAAATGAAAATGAAAATAACTGTGCGAAAGGCTACCTATTGGAAAAAATATATAATATTTTACGAAAAAAAAAAAATCCCAATTTCTCATTTTCTCATAAAGAAACGCAGTAAATATGTATTTATTTTTGCCGATAATGCACTTATATCTTATGTTGCATATCTTGTGTATATAGATTGTTTTGATAACCTTATGGTCTTCAAATAAAAATGATGTATTTATTCATTCATCCAACCTGTTTTTTATTATGTGATTTTTCATAAATCTTAGCTAATTTACAAAATATTGCAAAATAGCAATATAATGGAAAATTGTTTCGAGTCCCTTTAACTTTTTCACATGGTTCCTTAGCGATTCCCTTTCATTAATTATTTTGACTATAGAGGTTATAGAGGTTGTCGTAAAAATTATACATTTTCATAACAATTACAAATGTTACACACCAAGTTTGAAGGCAAATACAATATAAACGTTGTTTCTTATTTTCAATTCATCTAACTAAATATTCGAATTAAAATACTAGTATGTACACTTATTTATAGAAGAGGACGCTTAGCAGCTCTCGACGTACCCGATCCCTTTTGGAATTCATGAGATTCCATCAGTTTAGTTTTCTAACTTGATATGTATCTCCTAAATTGATTTATGCGATTTTAGCATCAGTAAACTACTTTTATGTAAACGTGTAAGACGGTCGTGTATTTAAAAAAATGTCTTAAGGTAGATCATAGGTATATATTTCCTCAGATAGATTTTTTTTATACTTTGCCAAAATAAAGATTTTTCTATGCTTTTTCCAAAAATATAATAAAAAGTATGAGTAACCGTGCTATTTTTCAAGCTACGGGTCGTACGAAATTGCACAAATTTGCTTAGATTGTTCATGAAAAAACACATTTGTGTGCATTAAAAGAAATCTATGAGATAGAATTTTAAAATAAAATATGAGAAGATAGGTTTTATAATATGCTTTAAGGAAATAAAAAGAAAAAATGGTGTCACCGAACTTGTTTTCTTACTACAAGTAAACAATTAAAATTTTTCCTATCAGTCCAGTATAATTTTTTTACTAAAAGAGTTATCTCCCCTTAAATGGCCAAGTTGAAAAAATAATTCTAAAAACACAATTATTTGGTATTTATTTAAACATTTTGAATAATGCAATAAATCACCAAGTTTTCTTTCATTGAATAAACAGTCTAACATATAAATTGCCTGTCTGTCTCCAAACTTGCAGATTTGGGCAAAGATCTAGACCGATTGTGTACTGCGATTGTACAATCCAAGATGGCGGTATTCCATGAATCTACCTTTAAACTAATAAAATTATTTTGTAAACTCATGAAAATATGATACAATTGAGGTCTTCAGTTTATTTTATCATGAAAAGTCATAATTTTGTGTGTAGTTCTTTTTATAAAAAAAAACCTGATAACTTTTTATAGGAAGAGAATTAGCTGGTGAATATGGCATGGTATTGGTTGCAAAAATTTGATATTTTTCATTTAAATGCAAAATTTTTCATTTAATTGGTATATTTTTTCATTTATATGCAATATTTTTTCATTTATATGCAATATTTTTTCATTTATATGCAATATTTTTTCATTTATATGCAATATTTTTTCATTTGTATGGTATATTTTTTCATTTAAATGGTATATTTTTTCATTTATATGCAATATTTTTTATTTTAATGGTATAATTTTTCATTTAAATGCAATATTTTTTTATTCAAATGGTATAATTTTTCATTCAAATGGTATAAGGACATACGATGCAGTTTTGATCCCAAGGTGATTTCTTGACGAACACAATCCTTTTTGCACCTAGTCAACTCAATTACGTTATGAAAAATATACTTTCATGGGCTACTTTTACAGATATTTACTCAATTTATTTTTTACATTTCTATCCCATGAACAGACATATCATACTATTTTGTTTCAAAAGATATACAGAAGCAATTTTTTGTCAAAACCTTTTGAATATCTTCTTTATATAAGTACAACTCTCTGAAATTATTAATTCTTATATCATTGTCACGATTTAAAAAAAGAATTGTTTAAATTTTCGTTAGCTACATCATTATCTTTGTAACTGTATCGTATGCCCTTAAAACATGCATACTGACATCAAGGCTTATATTGCCTTCAGAGACTGACAAAAAAAATGAAAACAATTGAGGCTTATATTATAGTTAACATGTAATGCATGTGAAAGTTACTAATATAGAAAGTTATAACTTAAAAAAAATGTTGCATATACGTCTTATGATATAAATATATATTATGTTGAATGTGATTGTTTTCAGGATTCATCCTACTTCAACTCCGAAAGAACAGCTCTTCATACCAAATCCTCATTTTCTTTCCGAGGAACCCAGCATTGAAATTGAAATTAAAAACGACAACTCAAATGCAAACGTGACGACAGGAACCTATTGTATTTGTGAGAAACAAGCAGGAACAGCAGACGACCAGTTTTATACTGCTCAGTGTAGTCTGTCAGACAGTACACAGTATTGTCCTTCTGATGAACAATTGTTACCTGGGAATGAAAAACAAAATAATCCCGTTGTAACAGTTTGTACATCAAGCAGGCAGAGAAGATCGTTGTCGCATAGAACTCGACGTAGCATTACAGATACCGATGATGTTGTTTTGGACAATGACTCCTTGGATTACGATGATGACGTTAACGACACTTTCACTGTAAGGCAATTAGATCGTAAGACTATTAAGATGGGGTTGATACTGTGTAAAGGAAATAATTGCAACCGTCATAATGAGCTTGCATACAAGTTCCAATGATGACGACCTCAAAATGAAAATGAAAATAACTGTGCGAAAGGCTACCTATTGGAAAAAATATATAATATTTTACGAAAAAAAAAAAATCCCAATTTCTCATTTTCTCATAAAGAAACGCAGTAAATATGTATTTATTTTTGCCGATAATGCACTTATATCTTATGTTGCATATCTTGTGTATATAGATTGTTTTGATAACCTTATGGTCTTCAAATAAAAATGATGTATTTATTCATTCATCCAACCTGTTTTTTATTATGTGATTTTTCATAAATCTTAGCTAATTTACAAAATATTGCAAAATAGCAATATAATGGAAAATTGTTTCGAGTCCCTTTAACTTTTTCACATGGTTCCTTAGCGATTCCCTTTCATTAATTATTTTGACTATAGAGGTTATAGAGGTTGTCGTAAAAATTATACATTTTCATAACAATTACAAATGTTACACACCAAGTTTGAAGGCAAATACAATATAAACGTTGTTTCTTATTTTCAATTCATCTAACTAAATATTCGAATTAAAATACTAGTATGTACACTTATTTATAGAAGAGGACGCTTAGCAGCTCTCGACGTACCCGATCCCTTTTGGAATTCATGAGATTCCATCAGTTTAGTTTTCTAACTTGATATGTATCTCCTAAATTGATTTATGCGATTTTAGCATCAGTAAACTACTTTTATGTAAACGTGTAAGACGGTCGTGTATTTAAAAAAATGTCTTAAGGTAGATCATAGGTATATATTTCCTCAGATAGATTTTTTTTATACTTTGCCAAAATAAAGATTTTTCTATGCTTTTTCCAAAAATATAATAAAAAGTATGAGTAACCGTGCTATTTTTCAAGCTACGGGTCGTACGAAATTGCACAAATTTGCTTAGATTGTTCATGAAAAAACACATTTGTGTGCATTAAAAGAAATCTATGAGATAGAATTTTAAAATAAAATATGAGAAGATAGGTTTTATAATATGCTTTAAGGAAATAAAAAGAAAAAATGGTGTCACCGAACTTGTTTTCTTACTACAAGTAAACAATTAAAATTTTTCCTATCAGTCCAGTATAATTTTTTTACTAAAAGAGTTATCTCCCCTTAAATGGCCAAGTTGAAAAAATAATTCTAAAAACACAATTATTTGGTATTTATTTAAACATTTTGAATAATGCAATAAATCACCAAGTTTTCTTTCATTGAATAAACAGTCTAACATATAAATTGCCTGTCTGTCTCCAAACTTGCAGATTTGGGCAAAGATCTAGACCGATTGTGTACTGCGATTGTACAATCCAAGATGGCGGTATTCCATGAATCTACCTTTAAACTAATAAAATTATTTTGTAAACTCATGAAAATATGATACAATTGAGGTCTTCAGTTTATTTTATCATGAAAAGTCATAATTTTGTGTGTAGTTCTTTTTATAAAAAAAAACCTGATAACTTTTTATAGGAAGAGAATTAGCTGGTGAATATGGCATGGTATTGGTTGCAAAAATTTGATATTTTTCATTTAAATGCAAAATTTTTCATTTAATTGGTATATTTTTTCATTTATATGCAATATTTTTTCATTTATATGCAATATTTTTTCATTTATATGCAATATTTTTTCATTTGTATTGTATATTTTTTCATTTAAATGGTATATTTTTTCATTTATATGCAATATTTTTTATTTTAATGGTATAATTTTTCATTTAAATGCAATATTTTTTTATTCAAATGGTATAATTTTTCATTCAAATGGTATAAGGACATACGATGCAGTTTTGATCCCAAGGTGATTTCTTGACGAACACAATCCTTTTTGCACCTAGTCAACTCAATTACGTTATGAAAAATATACTTTCATGGGCTACTTTTACAGATATTTACTCAATTTATTTTTTACATTTCTATCCCATGAACAGACATATCATACTATTTTGTTTCAAAAGATATACAGAAGCAATTTTTTGTCAAAACCTTTTGAATATCTTCTTTATATAAGTACAACTCTCTGAAATTATTAATTCTTATATCATTGTCACGATTTAAAAAAAGAATTGTTTAAATTTTCGTTAGCTACATCATTATCTTTGTAACTGTATCGTATGCCCTTAAAACATGCATACTGACATCAAGGCTTATATTGCCTTCAGAGACTGACAAAAAAAATGAAAACAATTGAGGCTTATATTATAGTTAACATGTAATGCATGTGAAAGTTACTAATATAGAAAGTTATAACTTAAAAAAAATGTTGCATATACGTCTTATGATATAAATATATATTATGTTGAATGTGATTGTTTTCAGGATTCATCCTACTTCAACTCCGAAAGAACAGCTCTTCATACCAAATCCTCATTTTCTTTCCGAGGAACCCAGCATTGAAATTGAAATTAAAAACGACAACTCAAATGCAAACGTGACGACAGGAACCTATTGTATTTGTGAGAAACAAGCAGGAACAGCAGACGACCAGTTTTATACTGCTCAGTGTAGTCTGTCAGACAGTACACAGTATTGTCCTTCTGATGAACAATTGTTACCTGGGAATGAAAAACAAAATAATCCCGTTGTAACAGTTTGTACATCAAGCAGGCAGAGAAGATCGTTGTCGCATAGAACTCGACGTAGCATTACAGATACCGATGATGTTGTTTTGGACAATGACTCCTTGGATTACGATGATGACGTTAACGACACTTTCACTGTAAGGCAATTAGATCGTAAGACTATTAAGATGGGGTTGATACTGTGTAAAGGAAATAATTGCAACCGTCATAATGAGCTTGCATACAAGTTCCAATGATGACGACCTCAAAATGAAAATGAAAATAACTGTGCGAAAGGCTACCTATTGGAAAAAATATATAATATTTTACGAAAAAAAAAAAATCCCAATTTCTCATTTTCTCATAAAGAAACGCAGTAAATATGTATTTATTTTTGCCGATAATGCACTTATATCTTATGTTGCATATCTTGTGTATATAGATTGTTTTGATAACCTTATGGTCTTCAAATAAAAATGATGTATTTATTCATTCATCCAACCTGTTTTTTATTATGTGATTTTTCATAAATCTTAGCTAATTTACAAAATATTGCAAAATAGCAATATAATGGAAAATTGTTTCGATTCCCTTTAACTTTTTCACATGGTTCCTTAGCGATTCCCTTTCATTAATTATTTTGACTATAGAGGTTATAGAGGTTGTCGTAAAAATTATACATTTTCATAACAATTACAAATGTTACACACCAAGTTTGAAGGCAAATACAATATAAACGTTGTTTCTTATTTTCAATTCATCTAACTAAATATTCGAATTAAAATACTAGTATGTACACTTGCATTTAGATCCATAATGACGAGAAAAACATAATTCTAAAGTTTTCATTTTTGAGGCTGTATGCATCTTGTCTTCTGACAGGACTTGCCATTCAGAGATGGATGGACAGAGGAAAAGGCAAATCTGACATGCACCGAACGCATAAAGAAATCCATCCCTTCTGAACTACCAGACATACCAGGATTATCAGATTCAGACTACATCCAGTCCTGTATCATAGATATTAAGGTCAAATTAATATTAGTTTTAACTTAAAATATTGAAAAGTTTTATATTTTCATAATATTAGATGATTTTTTCTTACATTACACTTTCACACCAGTTTCTTTGTATTTGAAACCCCTTTCAATTTAATATATTCTCATTTGCTGAGAAATTGGCAATTTAGTAAAATGTGTTATAAATGATGTTATTCGTGTTTTAGAAGTTTTGATTGATCCGGCCGCCATTACTAGAAAGCCAGGATTTGATTTTTTTGTGAATCTGAGGTTTCGAACTAAATTTGACTATCATAATGAAAATAACATGTTATAAATTGTATGCGTTCGAAGCCCTATTCTGGATTATCCTTTTTCATAAAAATTTACCTAAAAAAAGTTTAGAAACCCAAGGATCTATAAACACTTGAATACGCGAAGAGTTTATACCCAAAAAGAAAAAAGAATAGCTAAAATCCATGTAGGGTCAACTTACTTCCAATTGTGACAGGTTGACTGAGGGTGGATTCGCATTGTGGGTGAGTCATTTATAGAAGAGCACGCTTAGCAGCTCTCGACGTACCCGATCCCTTTTGGAATTCATGAGATTCCATCAGTTTAGTTTTCTAACTTGATATGTATCTCCTAAATTGATTTATGCGATTTTAGCATCAGTAAACTACTTTTATGTAAACGTGTAAGACGGTCGTGTATTTAAAAAAATGTCTTAAGGTAGATCATAGGTATATATTTCCTCAGATAGATTTTTTTTATACTTTGCCAAAATAAAGATTTTCTATGCTTTTTCCAAAAATATAATAAAAAGTATGAGTAACCGTGCTATTTTTCAAGCTACGGGTCGTACGAAATTGCACAAATTTGCTTAGATTGTTCATGAAAAAACACATTTGTGTGCATTAAAAGAAATCTATGAGATAGAATTTTAAAATAAAATATGAGAAGATAGGTTTTATAATATGCTTTAAGGAAATAAAAAGAAAAAATGGTGTCACCGAACTTGTTTTCTTACTACAAGTAAACAATTAAAATTTTTCCTATCAGTCCAGTATAATTTTTTTACTAAAAGAGTTATCTCCCCTTAAATGGCCAAGTTGAAAAAATAATTCTAAAAACACAATTATTTGGTATTTATTTAAACATTTTGAATAATGCAATAAATCACCAAGTTTTCTTTCATTGAATAAACAGTCTAACATATAAATTGCCTGTCTGTCTCCAAACTTGCAGATTTGGGCAAAGATCTAGACCGATTGTGTACTGCGATTGTACAATCCAAGATGGCGGTATTCCATGAATCTACCTTTAAACTAATAAAATTATTTTGTAAACTCATGAAAATATGATACAATTGAGGTCTTCAGTTTATTTTATCATGAAAAGTCATAATTTTGTGTGTAGTTCTTTTTATAAAAAAAAACCTGATAACTTTTTATAGGAAGAGAATTAGCTGGTGAATATGGCATGGTATTGGTTGCAAAAATTTGATATTTTTCATTTAAATGCAAAATTTTTCATTTAATTGGTATATTTTTTCATTTATATGCAATATTTTTTCATTTATATGCAATATTTTTTCATTTATATGCAATATTTTTTCATTTGTATGGTATATTTTTTCATTTAAATGGTATATTTTTTCATTTATATGCAATATTTTTTATTTTAATGGTATAATTTTTCATTTAAATGCAATATTTTTTTATTCAAATGGTATAATTTTTCATTCAAATGGTATAATTTTTCATTCAAATGGTATAATTTTTCATTCAAATGGTATAATTTTCATTCAAATGCAATAGTTTTTATTCAATTGGTATAAAATGTCATTTGAATGCAATATTTTTTATTCAATTGGTATAGTAGTTTTTTATTTATATGCAATAATTGCATTATGGGAAATTCTTTGACGTCATAAGGTCAAATTTGCAACAACGTTTGTGATTGGTCGGAAATTGTTTGGATGTCTCCCCTTTCTTTCTAAACATGGGTGACCAAGAATAAAAAAACGCGTCAGAATATCGCCCCTCTAACTAAATCTAACGTTCGTGCGAGTCCTGCACTGGCTGTTAATGCCAATAATGGCCAGGACGAGCAAAAAATGCGAGTGACAAGTAATAATAATTAATTTGACACACAACTTGTTCATGGATAGCGCTGAAACAGATGCCTGCGTGCATGGCAAAAACACCTCCAATGAAAACCTTTTCTGAAGAAACTCTCCTACTGTCTACACATTGAAATAAAAAAAAAAATACATAGCTAGCCCCCCTCCCTCTTCTACGTCCAGATACGTGTAATCATGACGTTCTTTAGTGCTATATCATTTTTTACTTTTCTTGATCCTCAGAGACGTTGCAGGAAGGCACATGAAAAAAGAATAAAAAGCATCCAGGACGTTACAATTATTTGGACTAAGCCCCCTCTTTTTTACTACATGAAGAAAAAAAATCACCTAATTACGACAGCAGAACTAGAAACCCACAAGTAGAGACATAAGCTGTTATACTCCGGAACTAATTCTTTAATAAAGACAATTCAGGACAAATTGGAACCAGTTACTAACCCATGTTACAACAATAGTCCTATGACATAGGACTTCACTATATGAGGCGTGAACTTCATATTTAATACTATCTATGATATGTGCTCTCATGTCTTATGCTGCAAATCATTTTACATTTAGGATTCGTTGCTGAGCTTTTTTTAACTGTTCTAGCCTCCGAATCCCTTAAATAGATTTTTTTTCAAGCCCCACAGTAGTTCAATAATTACTATATGTCTTTGCATAAATAAGTATGCAGGGCATATTTCAAAACATATTTTATCTTCAGGACTTTTAAATGATTTACTTTTCAATACTGCATTGGGAAGGGGGTATACAAGTTTATTTTGTGACACATTATATAATAAAATTAGGTATCCAACAAATTATATGATTGTACGTTTAGGTATTATCTAGACCCGTACACAATGTATATAATTAGACACATTTAACAGGGGCGGATCCAAAACCTCGGTGTCTAGAAAGGGGGGGGGGGAGTAGGTTCAAATTTAGATATTTGTATAGAGATGTATATATGCGAGTATTGGCAGTAATGGTTATGGTGTGTGTGTGAGGGAAGGGGGTTTCAGATCAAAGATCGTTTCTATAATTCTATATCTTTTAGTTTTTACCATTTCACTCTATTCTTTATCCTTTGATCTCTATTATATTTGTTCTAAACATGCGTGACATATTTGCCACTGGACATAAGGCAACCAAAAGTCAATCAACGTATTCTGTATATTTCATCATTTCTTTATTATGTTTTCTATAGGTTTGGTCCCGACCCTTATCTATTTTTTTGCACATTAGGGACGACATCAAAAGTTAAATGTAGGATAAAAAAAAAATAATTCATATAGTTTTTTGTCACTGACCCCCTACCCCCCCCCCCCCCCCCCCCCCCCCCCCCCCCCCCCCCCCCCCTCTTAATTTAATTTCTTAATTTGGGAAAAATTGATTGACCAATAAGGATATATATAAAATCGATGTTAATTAAACAAAACTTGCAGCAATTTTGACCCCCCCCCCCCCCCCCCAACTATTTGAATTAAGTTTTTTATCCTTCATTGATTTTCTGATGTCGTCCCTTATCCTCTCTATGTAAACCCAATTCATGTCCTGATAAATGGTGACTCATGCATAGCATCATATGTGGTTATTAAAACAAGAAACATATTCATATTATAATAATTAATGTATGCTAGGACTTATAGATAGATGTCATTAGTCCCAGGTCATGTAATAAAGTAGGTCTTATAAAAATACAATAGCATTTTAATTTTGATGATTATATATATGTTTATATATTTAATAATGCCATTTTTTTGGAAAAAAGGTAGGGGCAAGGCGTTTTTAAAACATATCAATGGGACGCGTTTTTTTTTTGTTCTTCGGAAGTGAGCCAGAAGAAGTCCATTTCTGTTTTTTTTTGCATTGGGAAGATCTTCTGGCTCTCTTCCACCTCTTCTTTTTTGATAGGTTGACGGCAGAGGCACATAACAAACATGGCGTCGTTTAGTCTAAATGAAATTAATAAATTTATGAATGCAGATATATTAGAATGTGAGCTGTTTTATAAACGTTTTATGGTATGACAGCCTTAGTAGGACATCCCTGTAGGACGATAAGCTGGATAAATATAAGAACTACACGGACAATAACAGTTAAGGGACGATTATTTGATATTCTAGGGAAGGGATTTTGATTGATTGGTGTTTTACGCTACTTTCAACACTATTGGGCTATTCCGTGGTGGTCAGTTTAAATTTATAGATGAAGGATGGGGAAGGGGAGAGTGGGCATTATTATTCATTTCAATCTGTCGCTAATCATGCCTATTTTTCAGCTCTTACCAGGCAACCATATTCATATATGAAATCCTTCTGTCCCCCGACCCAACAAATAAATAAATATCAAATGGGTTTCCTCTAATTTAACACAAGTTTAAATTGATTGATTGTTTGTTGCTAATTTTAACGCTCAGTGAAAATTATTTCATGCTTGTTCAGGAAAACACGAGTTTAGAAGTCACGTATATAATATAAAAATGAAGAGATGGAATATGATTGCTAATAAGGCAACAAATATGTATAACAAAGCAACAAACGGCAACCACTGAGTTACAGGCTCCTGACTTGGGACAAGCACATACATACAGAATGTGGCGGGGTTAAACATGTTAGCGGGATCCCAATCCTCCCCCTAATCTGGGACAGCGGTGTAACAGTACAACAACATGTTTGTGAGCAACCCATCCCGAAGCTGGGACAGTGGTGTAACGGTACAATAAAATAACAACCTGCACAAATCAGCAAATTACTCAAAAGATCGATAGGAGACACACACAAAAACTAACATTAAGACAATAGACACAAAGCACCGACATAAGAGTATTTGCAATTACTGGAAGTTTGCTCAAACCTAATTACAACTGGTACTGAAATAAATCTTGTTCTCCCAGACCGAGTTATCAATCAGTACACAACGCGCGGCAAAGGATTTATTAAAAAAAGAAAACAGTCTGAGAAACGTCTGGTTTACGTTGAATATACATATAAGAAGATGTGGTATGAGTGCCGATGAGACAACTCTCCATCAAAGTCATAATTTGTAAATGTAAACCATTAAAGGTCAACGTACGGTCTTCAACACGGAGCCTTGGCTCAAACCGAACAGCAAGCTATAAAGGGCCCCAAAAAATTAGTAGTGTAAAACCATTCAAACTGGAAAACCAACGGTGTCTAATCTATTTAAAAACCCGATATACTTGCATATAAATCCATATACAATGAAACGGTTTTTGAAAAGTGGACCGAACGTTTTGACCATCGAAATTTTGCAATAGAAATACTAGTTATGACCACAAGATTTTAACAGCCAGTGCAGGACTCGCACGAACGTTAGATTTAGTTAGAGGGGCGATATTCTGACGCGTTTTTTAATTCTTGGTCACCCATGTTTAGAAAGAAAGGGGAGAAATCCAAACAATTTCCGACCAATCACAAACGTTGTTGCAAATTTGACCTTATGACGTCAAAGAATTTCCCATAATGCAATTATTGCATATAAATAAAAAACTACTATACCAATTGAATAAAAAATATTGCATTCAAATGACATTTTATACCAATTGAATAAAAACTATTGCATTTGAATGAAAATTATACCATTTGAATGAAAAATTATACCATTTGAATGAAAAATTATACCATTTGAATAAAAAATATTGCATTTAAATGAAAAAATATACCATATAAATGAAAAATTATACCATTAAAATAAAAAATATTGCATATAAATGAAAAAATATACCATTTAAATGAAAAAATATACCATACAAATGAAAAAATATTGCATATAAATGAAAAAATATTGCATATAAATGAAAAAATATACCAATTAAATGAAAAATATTGCATTTAAATGAAAAATATCAAATTTTTGCAACCAATACCATGCCATAGGTGAAATATTTTTCAATTTCATTTAAATAAAAAACCGGTGGAAGAATAATTATGCTTCATTTTTTTTCTTGTTTTTACCAATGTTTTGACTATCCTTATTGATTCTTCGTTATTGGGCTGCACTTGGTATTTTTTTGTTGTCTGAAAAATGATTACTTTTTGGGAATCTGTAGTGAACTCAGTAATAGATAAGATTATATTTAGATACAAGAAAATAAAAGTGTAATGTCTCATTTTTGTTTGTTCTTAAAATGTATGAACTTATTAGTATTTGGAAACCTTTAAAATGTACACTTCAAATATACATTTCTAAATATATAGTTTCTATAACTTAATTTTTTCAGTTTACTGCAGGGACCACCTTCGTACAAGATACAGTTGGTGCCGTGCAGACAAAAACTATTATGGAATTATCTAGGAATGAAACATTGTCAATTACAGAAACAGATGATGGATCGCAATCTGTTTTAGACTATGTTACAAGTTTACTTTGTCCTAACAATTGCACTGAAAACGGAAATTGCACATCAGGTATAGGTTGCAATTCTGTACTTATAGACACTGCAATTTCCCAAACGAACTCCTTTTACAGCTAAAACTGTACCACTCTTACTAGGAAGTTTCGTATGCTCATATGCACTTCTATTTTTTTTTAAAGGTCAAAATATAGGGCTGTGCGGCATATGTTCAATATTTATATGCCCGAACTTTTAAGAGTGTAAACTTATCTTAAAATTCTGTACTACCCCACCCTTCACTTTGGGTCTTGTACATATTTCAATTTGGCCGCTATTCATGTGTATTTATACTGGTAACATTCCCAAGTTATGTCTCTACAAAATGAAACATAGAGATCACATCTGGGAACCAGTAGGTAAACAAAACAAAATATCTGTGAATATTATATATCTCCCCAAAAGAGGCGTGGTTTGTGAAACAGCTGTATTTACAATGTGCAACCTAAAATAGTGTTGAAAATTTATATTGAAACTAGTTTTGTAGAGATGGAATACATTCAATTAAAAGGAGGTCTTTATACATGAACGAATGGATTTTGACAATTTCGCTGTACTCTTTTAAAACCCTTACTATCGAATATGGCAAATGACGTCCATCGTTTTTTATCATAAGATTTGAATTGGAGATTTAACTAATGTAGTGAACTTATATTATGTTTATTAACAATGTTCTGACAAGCACTTTGCTTAAAAGCCGATAATCACGCCGCTGGGCCCTCTATTAAATATGCTTGTTGATCTCTTAATTATTCTATTTCGCTACTTATGTAAACCTATGGCTACTAGTGCGTTGTGGGTTTTTTACGTGCAGTCAAAATAAATACCAGAAATGCATGTTAAACTGAATTTAAGACCATTCTATATTGTATTACACCGGATTCCTTTGAAATGTTCATTTGATGCTGTATTTTTGTCAGTGTTTATATATTATTGCAGGGCCGTAAATTACATAGAGGCATGTAGGCAGTTGCCTCCTATTGCGGACTGACAAAAAAAAAGAAAAAATGAAGAAAAAAATACTGAAAAGAAAAATTGTTAAAATCAAGCATTATTTTAATAGCACTGGTTGTTACTTTTACGTCTATTAATGAGATTGGGTCAAAATGTACAATAGAGCAAGCAATCAAACACATGCACTTTTACCCAAATATAAAACAAATACTTTTGCTTCTGTTAGCATTGCCAGTTGGGTCCTGCAGTTGTGAGAGATCGTTTTTTGCGCTACGGCGCCTTAAAACATGGAACAGGTCAAAAATGGCGGAAAGCTGATTACGTGGTCTGGCTATGCTACACATAGAAGTGACAATGTTGGCAATATTGAATGCATAGAAGTGCTAAAGAGATGGGATTCGTCCGGGCACAGAAAAATCCCCTTAGCAATTGACAAAGCCTAACCGAATAAAATTGTCAGTGTAAACAAAAAGTGTTACGTTATAATAATTTGAATTTGATAATTAAAAGTTATGAGTTATTAAGTATGCATTTTCATTTTAAGGTTTGAAAATTTTGTCTCTGAAACGAAGTCAAAATAGCTCGATTGGGACAGCCAAAAAAGCATGATAAACCACAAAAAAGGGCTCAACTTTAGGGGGCCTTTCATTTTAAGTTCGCAAATTGTTTCCCTAAAAATAAGTAAAAATAGCTTGTGAAGAGTCATAAAGCAGGATGAAGCGTAAAAAATCTTACTTTACCGGCACATGTAATCTAACTCTGGTTTATAACTATTTTCAATATATTCCAGGCGCTTATTTATTGAAATATAACAAAAATTTAACAAGTGGTGAATTCTGAGGAGGTACATTGCATACAGGGAAAAGGCCCGAAAACATATCATTTTCTGCTTAAAATGGGTCGCTCAGCTCGGTGAAACTCAGCTGCCTCCCCTTACAAGACAGGCAATTTACGGCCCTGATTATTGACTTGAGTATAGTTTGTAAAGTAGGAACGTTGTTCCCGGAAAGTAAATACTACCGTTCAAACTTTTAGTATTCTCAATGGAAATAGCATAAAACGATAAATATGATGACAAATCTTCATTCTTCATTATTTCGTTTCTACAAAGTAGGCTGATTTTTATTATATTGTGGCTGTGATTTTGTTTACAATTAGAATCGTTATTTACTCAGTATTAAAAAAATCCTAGTAAAATCGTTTTGTGTACTATTTCCAAACACTCCCAAATAGTTTATTACTTAAGAGTTGATTGGTACACATTGTTTATAAAATAGTGATGCTAGTTTGATAGAAATCGTTGTCTCGGTCTACACTTCAGAGCTAGACTGGACCTTAATTAAGTCAATATATATGCTAATCTGTTTGAAATCAAGGATGTGTTTACATAACGATTTTCTATTGTTTTGTCATACAAATAAAACACATTTTTATTCATCTTATGAATATACAATAATTTATTTCTTTTGTATACTTTTGATATACAAATATAAAGCGTTGTCAACTCACATTTTAATTTTAGGTGTTTGCTCATGTTATTATGGATACATTGGTGATGATTGTTCTGAAGAAATGTCAAATCCGCCACTTAATATTACACTACCAGCAAATGGTTTGTGTGGAACAAGAACAAGGGCTTGTAAAAGGACTAATGTATATGGAACGTTCAAATCAAACACCATTTGGTGCAGGCGTAGGCACTTTCAGGTAATTAACTCAGTAGATAGTCGGTTTTTTTACTCAAAGTTAGATATTCAATCTATCATAAAATTGAGAATGGAAATGGGGAATATGTCAAAGAGACAACAACCCGACCAAAGAGCAGACAACAGCCGAAGGCCACCAATAGGTCTTCAATGCAGCGAGAAAATCCCGCACCCGGAGGTGGTCCTCAGCTGGCCCCTAACAAAAATTGTGTGCTAGTTCAGTGAAAATGGACGTCACACTAAACTCCAAAACATATAAATGAACTAAAATTAAAAAACATACTAGACTAACAAAGGCCAGAGGCTCCTGACTTGGGACAGGCGCAAAAATGCGGCGGGGTTAAATATGTTTTGTGAGATCTCAACCCTCCCCCTATACCTCTAGCCAATGTAGAATAAAGAAATACATAGCAATACGCACAGTAAAACTCAGTTTAAAAGAAGTCCGAATCCGATGTCAAAATAGGTAACAAAAGAAACTTAGCAAAATGACAATGATACATAAATGAACAAAGGACTACTAGCAGTTACTGACATGCCAGCTCCCGACCTCAATTAAACTGATTGAAAGATCATGTCTTCATCATATGAAAATCAAGTACAATCCCTCCCGTTAGGGGTTTAGTATCATACCATCATAAAATATATGAGAAGAACATAACCCGTATCATGCCAACAACTGGTTTTAGAATAAATGTGTTTATTTCCGATGCAAAGACCCTATGAGTGAATCAATATTAATACCAAAATATGCAATCCTTAATGACTTGACAACAGTATCGTAACTATATCCTTTCCGAATAAGTCTGTTTAAAGGTTTGGTTAGCTTTTGAGGTGAAAGCCGACATTTTTGTGCTTTGTAAAGAATATTACCATAAAATATTGGATGTGAAATACCTGAACGTATAAGATGTCTGCATGTTGATTTATATTTACGAATGATGTCCTTGTACCGATGATAAAATTAAGTAAATGTTTTGACTAGTTTGTGATATCGAAAACCTTGGTGTAATAATTTTTCAGTAATACAGAGATTTCTTTCGTTGAAATCAAATACGTTGTTACATACACAGTCTTTTAATGCCAGGTAACTCAAGGCAATGCATGTTTTATACAATATACGAATAGAAGAAGAATTTCTGACTGTGAGATGATTGTTTTATATGTCAACTGCGAATTTTTCAATAAAATGTTTACTGGCAACTCAAAATATTGAATGTTGACTCTTCATTATTTGTAAAAAAAAAACTATAAATACATGCATTGACAAAATAGTTGTTCTAATGGGGTGATAATTTTGAAAGCATCGATAATTATTGTGCTTTTATTTTGTGCATCAGAATAAACTTTACAATATTCAACTGTGTTATTAAAGGGTCATTAGCTGTCATTCGTTCAGCGAGTTGACTCAAATTCTCATAATTGCTTTATAACATACATAAATGTATATTCAAATTACAAAGATTCCAAAAAGAAACAATTAACAATGCATTGACTCGTTATTATGTATCGTCATTTCGTGTATATTTTAGACTAGACGTCATCTAGTAAACCATCGAGATTACCTCAGGAGAATGCCCACTCATTAGTTTTACCTGTATAAGAATGACTTTTTTGTGGATTGAATCAGTCATGCAAATGGTTCTTCCCAGTGGTTCCCTTGTTTCACTTTTCAATGTTGACATTCTTTTCTTTTTTATGACTGAACATGCTTAGCGTCACCCATCTCAAACTAAGCAAATAAGACATCAACAATGTATCTTAGATTATTTGGACAAAATTGATCCAAACTAACCACTATCAACGAAATATTATTTCAATATTCCACTTTTATAAATGTTAAAAACAAACAATAATCATATCTAAAATTTTTGTCTCAATCGTAATAAAATGCAATTTAATTAAAACACCGATTTTTAATTAAACTTTAAATCTTATTTGAACATATACTCTTATATAAACTCATCATAGATATCAAGGTTAAACTTTCGTATGCCAGACGCGCGTTTCGTAAAAGACTCAATAGTGACGCTCCAATCGAAAAAAGGTGAATTAAAGTACGAGATTGAAGACCATTGAGGACACAAAATTCCGAAAGTATTTTGCCTAAAACAGTTGAGGCAATCTAATTCTGGGGTAGAACATCCTTATTATTTCAAAAAATTCAAATATATGTTTACAGTTAATTTATAAATATTGACACAGATGGACGGATCTATGACAAACGTGATAATTTAAACTTTCAGTTGTCGACTATCCTTTTCTCATCTGCCTCATCGCATGCATATCTCAGGTAATACGTTACGCTCATGAATGTTTGCTCTATACGGACGTCAGTAACAAAAATGTGCTCCTTGCACAAAAAAATTGCTCTAACAGAGTTTTGAAGAAGAACGACTCAAATCGAGTATACAGAAGATTTACGGTCACCATCACGATTTTGTTGTTCGATAAAATGTGTTTATGTCTCAACTCACTAGCGACATTTTTTCTCGGTCATAGATCTTTAGATACCAGAATCGCTATCTGATCTGTTATCCTATTCCCGATTGTGACATTTTGACTGGGTGTGGATTGGCATGGCAGGTAATGCTTACCATGTCGACGCAACTGGTATCGCTCCTTTTGGAGTTCATGCTATTCCTTAAGTTTTTGTTAGCTTGATTTGTCTCTTCTTAATCAATATACGAGATTATTCGTATCAAGGCCTAAAAGTTCAACAATGACCAAGTAAATGCTTCATGTCAAAATTTATATTTTTAAAGGTAAAAGTCCATGTGATCGAACAGTGAATATTATCTATCGATCGCAAGATAAATTATTTTTGAGCTGTAAATGCTATATAAATTTAGTGCAGTATATTCGGTCAACGTAATCTCATTACTTCGAAATATTTTATGAAATGCAAGTTTTCTATTTAGCGAGAAAAGAACCTTAAGGTTGGTGCTATTTTATGCAAATTATTTTTTTTCGAAGCGCTTGCATGTATTCTGGCTTTTCTATTTGATGCGGATTGCCTGTAGAAAACATGTTTACAAAGCAGAGCAATATGTTGGCAATAAAACAATGATTTGGATTCCTGCTTAGTTCTATTGTTGTAAGGGTATATATGATTGACATTTGATTAAGGAATACATTATTTTTTTTAGTTTATCAATTTACTGGTGTATATAATTGTGATTTATGTATATTTATAGAGATAATGATTCGGACATTGTGTGCTGGGGTAACAGCATAGTTGCCTTTCGATGAAAACTGGTATAACATTAGGTTCTTTTGCAATTAACATTTCCGTATATTTTTAGATAATGAACGGATCACATGAATACACATCAGATTACGAAATGATAAAGGCAGATTACAGGAATCTTTTCATGATATCTGTTAATCTAGAGTCACCAAGACGTAAACGGTCTACAGCTGATGTGGTAATGGCAGATGGGTTTGAACTCAGCTTGTCGAATGATGGAAAACAGTTCGGAAATAGCGTCAACATAGTTATTTTTGATGAACTATGCTTTACATGTGATACCAAGTCAAAGAAATGTTTTTTATTGGTTCGTTTATCTAAAACCTTAAGAACATAAGAAATTTTAAAACGGACTTTGGTGATGATTCAGTTTTGGCAACTGACGTGATTTTAAAAGACATCCTTTGTTAAGGTTTTCTTACGCGTAATGTACTTCACATATTCATGCTTTTACTATATATATATATATATATATATATATATATATATATATAGAAAGATAGATGTTAGGTATTTGTAAATGAAACTGCAAACTAAAAATGCGAATATAAAACAAAACATGTTTGGAGGTCATAACACGGTCTTTATCAAAAGGAAAGTGTATATACAATGTGCCACGATCTAAACAAAGAACTGTAATATCACCAAAGTCCCTTATAGGCCCATGAATATATTCCTTGGTTGACACATATTCTATTTGCTTGAATATGCATAAAAATGATAAAACACAAGTCAATCAAACCTGTAAAGTCTTCTCACGTGAACATTTTGTAGCAGTTGAATATTTGTTATGCATCCAGCCAATGCAATACAATGTAAATTTTGAAATACGATATAATGTAAACATGACGATTTGTAATGATGTTGGTGATTTTAAACATTGTGTGGTGAATAGAATATTCCTATTCAATTAGAAAAACAGTTCTTTCATTCTTCATAGTAAAATTATTAAAAACTACATTCAAGTTTGTATGTGAAATGTAATAATAGTTCTCCTTAAACATAAAACAATAACTGTTATAACACTTCAGAAATTTGATGGTTCGTAGAACTTTTCTGAATAAACACAAACAAACACACAAATTAATGCCGGGATGTATAAAGACTGAAAGAGTTATATGACCAACGGGACGTAATCAGAATAACCAAAACTATCTTAGTTTTAAGTTTTGATTTAAGAAACGTGTCTTATAAATCATGTTTCCTCAAAACAAAATATATTTCTCTGTAAAACGCTGCTGATAGATTTCTGTTTGGGTTCCTTTTATTGAAAAAAATAGTACATTTTAGTATTGAATAGTAAATTGGTGACATAAACAAATGCATATTCTGACTTACAGGAATCGTGTCCTGTAACAACTTCTGAACCTCCAGAAACTGTCACTGGTAAGTAGAAAGTTTAGTTTCATATGTTTTATTCCTAAAAAATAACCACATTTTTGTTAACATGAATAATTCAATTATCAGAATTGATTTAAGTTGCTTTTTCTGGATCATAAAGTAAATATAAAAAAAATGTACGTTTTGACATTATGATGTTTGGACTATGGTAGTATATTTACGTTCGGGAAATGTATATCAAGTAAAAAATTAAAACATACGAAAAGTAAAGTAGACCATCGGAAACGCTAGAACTCCAATTGGAGTGACACAAACTGTGTAGAAAGGGAAAGCATCCCCTGATATAACATTCTACGGTCACACGATTCCAAAGTCATATCTAGTAGTAAGTGTTAAAGCCGGAACACGACATAATGGGTATTAATGTGATACTAAAAAATTGAAAAGAAAAAGTAAGTATACTCTTCCGTCCTAATTTTTTCAATACTTACAACTTCGTTTATACCAGCTAATCTATGTATACTTTTATAAAAGACTCTTTTAAATGTTTTAGAAAGTGTGAAACACTTCCCATATACTAAGTACATCATTATTGGAACGGCTGGCGTACTCTTATTCATCACAGTCATATTCATACTTTTGTTCTTAAAAGTAAGGAAATTCAGTTCAAGGTTAGTATTGGTGAAAATGAAATGTAGATGTTGTCAGACAAAATAGAAAATGCAATTAAAACATAATTATCAACAGATTGTAAAAACCAGAACAATTAATCGTCCTAAAAATTTAAAAAAAAAAAAGATGAACAAAAAACGAGCCTCCCCCTAAAAAACTAAAAAAAAGACACACACACACAAGAAAAAACAAAAAGAATTTAAAACCCAAATCCTTTATCAAGTAAGGAATTATATCAATAATTTGACCCACAATGACCTTTTTATTTGCAATATCACATATAAAAATATATAAAACAAATAAAAATTGGGGAGAGTTTGATACTCACATAACCTCTCCATATGTTACTATGCCCGCACAAATTCATGAACTTCATCTTCAGTTTTTTTTCAACATTCTAGTGCTTTCAGTCGATTGATCGATTGAGATGGATGCCGATGGCACAGTTTTGATCGTCTCTCTTAAATCTTTTTGAAACTGAAAGAAATCTGGTTGATTTTTTATTTTAACTTGTGGTATAGACACTTGTCTATTGACGAATTCCTTGTACTGACCTGTAAATGTCGTTCTTTATGTTGTTGGTTACTGTCCTATTGCGGTGTAGCATGTATCAAACTATCTTTTTATTTTAATATCTTTTCACTTGTCATCTTTAGTTCAGATGAAAAATAGTTTGTATGGAAAAAGTTATTATTAGAAAATACATTTTGGAATTTGTTGTCTGGATAACCAAAGCTATAACATCTGTTAAAAAAAAATCAAAAATCTATTAAACGATTATATATCATTGATCGTTCATTTTCTTAAAATTAATCGATTATTACGGTTTAGTCATTCGTAACAATAAGGTTGTTCTACTCAGCTATAGATGACCTAAGCCGTATTTGGCAAAACTTTTCGTTATCTTAGTTTACAATGTTCTTAAACATCGTATTTTGGTTTCGATTGGAGTGTCACTGATGAGTCTGACGTACCAAATTATAAGCCTGTTATCTTTGATAAAAAATGTGTTGATGTCCCTGCTGATGGACGTTTCGCAGTTCTATTAGTCAGTACTTTGTGTTGCCATGAAATATCATTAATCGTTCATTTTTCTGTAAATTTACTGTTTATAAAATGTATTATTATTCAAAACATCTTAAAGAATAGTTAACCTAAGCGGTATTTGGCAAAATTTTTCGTAATATTGAAATGCTCTTAAACTTCGTATATGATTTGGCATTTCAACTGTTTTGATTCGAGCGCCACTGATGAGTACTATGTAGACTCGCGTCTGTCGTACCGAATCATAATTCTGGTATCTGTGATGAGTTTTAATAGCCACTTGGTTGATGCCACTACGAATGGACCTTTCATTTTCAAGGGTATCGCATGGTCAGTGCTCAGTGATCTTTGGTACCATGAATCGTCCATTTTCTGTAAAGCTGGATGTATAGTCAGAACCATTATTTGGCACCTGAAATCACAAAAACAGTTAAATTATTCAAACCTTTCAAAATTATATTTATTTTCATGATGATTGAACAGGTTTATATAATCTTGAAACTAGTGCAGAACGGTCACTTGTAAAGTCACTATGACGTCATAAACAAGAAAAAAATACGTATTGAACCTGAAATGGCTACACAATATATATGAGCAACAGCTTTACCCAAAAAGATAGTTTACACAAATTAAAAAATTTTGTAAAATACATTTTGTAGCAAAATACCTTTTTTGATTAAAGATGTTCACATCTGAATAATAATGACAAGATCTCAAAATGAGGTTACTTTGGCAGTTTAAAGCCCAAATGCCAATATGTGAGACCATATTTACAAATTTTCCTGGTGCTCGACAGATTCATATCTTATGAACATCTGAAGGATATTATTTGGTAGTTGTCTAATCTTTTTTAGTTTTTTGAATTCAAGGACCAAAAAAGTGAACTTGTAATACCTTCTCGTTTACTGTTTATGAAATGTTTAATTATTCGAAAAACTAAGGTTTTTTTCTATCCCAGACATAGACGACCTAAGCCGTATTTAGCAATTTTCAGGATCTTGGTTTTCAATGTTCTTCAACTTCGTATTTGATTTGATCTTTGAAGGTTTTACACTACAGTTAACATATTTTTATGTATTATTCATGTTTGATTTTGTTATTGGAAGAAGTTGGTGTTGATGGCCTTGATGGTTTCTGTTAAATTAATTTACAACAATAGAGATTAAAATACTGAACGTTTTAAAGATTTATTATTATCTAATGTTGTAGACTGTATGGTGACCTCCAGAAGTCTGTTGGTTATTTGTATTTTATTGGTTGTTTCTTCCTTAATGGATAACCCCGTATAATCCTTTATACGGATATAATATATTTGAATTTTCATTAAAAAAATAAAGGCATTTTGTTGCTCATTAAGTAGTTTGCTATTGAATGTTGTTGATATGGTTTTTTTTCCTTAGTCCTTTGCGATGTCTGCCATTCTTTACACTTTTAATTGTCCTCTTACGGCGGCGGCGTAAACTATTTGTATAAAGCTTTATATTTCAGAAGGTAGACGAACTGGATGCTTCATATCTTGTATGCAGATACCTTATGTTACGAAGTTTCCGTCTGTCATATGTCCAATGTCCTTGATGGTTCAACGACTGCTTGAAAAAAAAATTGATTTTTTTTGTCATGTGAATTTCTCACTTATTATGAGTAACAGGATAACCATATTTGGTATATGGGTTCCTTGCAACGTCTACATGTCCGTCAGACAGGGTTCACCTGACATCGACCTCATTTCATGGATCAGTGATCAAGGTTAAAGTTACATGATTAGGTCAGTTTCTCCAATACTATAAGCAGCAGGTCAACTATATGTAGTGTATGGAATGACTTTAATGGGTACATGTCAGTCTGCCAGGTTTCATCTGACCTTGACCTCATTTTCATGGTTCATTGGTCAATGTTAAGTTTTTGTGTTTTGGTCTGTTTTTCAAGTACTGTAGGCAACAGGTCAACTATATTTGGTGTATGGAATGATTGTTAGGTGTACATGTCTGTCTGGTAGGTACCATTTGACCTTGACCTCATTTTCATGCTTCATTGGTCTATGTTAAGTTTTTGTGTTTTGGTCTGTATTTCAATTATCATAAGCAATAGGTCAACTATATTTGGTGTATGGAATGACTGTAATGGGTTCATGTCAGTATGGTAGGTTTAATCTGACCTTGACCTCATTTTCATGGTTCATTAGTCAATGTTATGTATTTTGGGGTTTGGTCTGTTTTTTAAGTACTATAGATAAAAGGTCAACTATATTTTGTGTATGGAAGGATTGTACGGTGTACATGTCTGTCTGGCAGGTATCATCTGACCTTGACCTCATTTTCATGGTTCATTGGTCAATGATAAGTTTTTGTGTTTTGGTCTTTTTTTCAATTATCATAAGCAATAGATCAACTATATTTGGTATATGGAATGACTGTAATTGGTGCATGTCAGTCTGGCAGGTTTCATCTTACCTTGACCTCATTTAAATGATTCATTAGTCAATGTTTAGTTTTTGTGGTTTGGTCTGTTTTTCAAGTACTATAAGCAACAGGTCAACTATATTTGGTGTATGGAAGGATTGTAAGGTGTACATGTATGTCTGGCAGGTATCATCTTCCTTAGCCTCATTTTCATGGTTCATTGGTCTATGTTAAATTTTTGTGTTTTGGTTCAGTTTTTCAATTATCATAAGCAATAGGTCAACTATATTTGGTGTATGGAATGATTGTAAGATGTATATGTCTGTCTGGCAGGTATCATTTGACCTTGACTTCATTTTCATGATTCATAGGTCAATGTTAAGTTTTTTTTTTTGTTTTTTTTTGTTTTTGGTCTGTTTTTCAATTATCACAAGCAATAGGTCAAATATATTTTTATTTGGCCTGAGTTTCTGTAATGCTTTTAGTTAAACCTTTATCTTTAAGACTTTCGACGTAAAATCAATGGTCAGTAAAGCAGGCGAGACATATCAACGTGTGCACTCTTGTTTGTTTAAAGATATTGAATTGTCTCAAACAACTTCGGAGTTATATAATGTTATACTGCTGTTAATTTTAACGCAAAATAACAAGTAACGCCATTTTTTATTGCATAACGTCTATCGTCAATTCCACGGTTGCCGGAGTCCCTGGTAAAAACATTTCCAGGATCATTTCAACTGTTTGTCTTGACATTTTCAGTGTGCTACATACTTTTCAACAATACCTTTGCTCATAAATGTCTGTATTTATGTTAATACTATCTACACACAAATGTGGAGTTCTAATCTTTTTCTCTCATTCTTTTATGTTGACATAAAAGTATAGGTTTTTTAAATTCATTTCTGTTTTTATACTGCAATTTAATGCAACAAAACTTGTGGAATGGATTTTGTGTTTAAATCGAATAGTGCAGTAAAATAATATCCTTACGTCATTTTTGTATCTAATATAAAAATAAGAAGATGTGGTATAATTGCCAATGAGACAATTCTCCACCAGAGACCAAATGACATAGAGGTTAACAACTATAGGTCACCGTACGGCCTTCAACAATGAGCAAAACTCATACCGCTATAGTCAGCTATAAAGGCCCCCAAATGACAAATGTAAAAACGATTCAAATAAGAAAACTAACAGCTTGAAAGGGAAAGGCACATACATAATATGGCGGGTTTAAAGATGTTAGCGGGCGCCCAACCCTCCCACTAACCTAGGACACTAGGTACAGATCTGCGAGTACTCGCAGCTACTGACAGCTAGATCAAAACCAATAACAACTAATAACAAAAATCATGTATCTTAGACTTAAGTATTGATCAGCACACATCCAACATCCAATGAATTTAGTGTAAAGACGTCATTAACAGTCAGAGAAAAATATGACCTTGTGCAATGTATGGAAAAATGCAAATATGTTACATGTAGTACTAAAAGAAACTTCTGTTGCAATGATACAGACATGCCACTATACCAGTAGTTAAAATATAGCTTTACCAAATTGGTACCGGTGACTCACAAAACTTAACAGTTTGTGAGTTTATCGACTCAATTAACACCTCAATAACCTCTAGGTAAATAAAGGCAACAATAGTATACCGCTGTTCAATAGTCATAACTCGATTAAGCGAAAACAAATTCGGGTCACAAACCAAAACCGAGGGAAACACATCAACTATAAGAGGAAAACAACGGAACAACAGAAACACTAAACTGCTACAAAAACAAACGCCAACATACACAGAAACGGACTATTTGATAATAACTGCCATATTCCTGACTTGGTACAGGACATTTTAAGAAAAAATGGTGGGTTGAACCTGGTTTTATGGTTAGCAAAACCTCCCGCTTAAAAGTGTTTAATCCTCATAATTCTAAACCAAAACATTTGCAATTTTATATATTCTTATATTGGATATGATTTACCGTCCAATCCACAGTTGACATTTCGTAATGAATGAGTAAGCTGCTGAAATCCATAAATGTTAGATTACAGCAGTATAATCGAAAATAATACATGTACATGAATTTTCCTTATTATTCTTATTTTTGTGATTTAACTTTTTTTTGTTCAAAGCTCTAGAATAGGAATAACAGTTCCGTAGTGATTTCTTTTTTTTTTTTAATTTTCTTGGAGCCCCAAGACCCCATGCATGTGTATCGTGAATGAATATATGACAGTGAAATCGAGATTACATAGCTTATGAAAGAAGTTTCGGCAACATGGTCTATCGAAGTGTAAACAGGGGGGGGGGGGGGGGGAATTCTAACAATCCCAGTCAATTATTTGTAGATAAGCAAATCAGATTATAATTATCATTTTATAAGATATAAAAAGTCAATGGAAATTTGCTATCTTTTCTTCATTGCTGTCAGAATATATGATTAATAGTTGGTTATAAATATTATTTTCTCATGCATCAAACCCATAATTAAAGTTTCCAGTCTAGTATACCAGGGCTGATATGAAAATTCCATAAAATAATTTCTAATTATACCCCGCTTACAGATATATACGGATTTCACCTTGTGCGTCCGTCTGTTCGTACGACCAGACAATAATTTTGATATCATTTTACGCAGTGTATGTATTCAGAAATGATTTGATATTTGCTCAGGAACTTATTTATGATGAGTTGTACAGTGTAAGTGATTTCCAGGTCTCACGGGCAGTCAATTCCTGCTTGACAATACTTTGAATTTCAATTATACCTACTGAGCACAGAAACGTTTTGTCATATATTTCCGAAAGCATGAAAAGAAATTACAAGAAAGAAAGTTTTTTAGAGATGTCAAACTGTCACAAGCAACTGATTTCAAAATTTAAGAGGCTTTTAAAACAACGGAGAATTTATATAACAGTTTAGTTGGCTTTGTACACTTTGGTATCATATCCGACTTAGGAGGCGGACAAGATTGCAATAGCTTTTTCCGTTATACCTTCGTTCGTCTGTTTACCCTTTCGTCCATCAAATATTCTTGTCACACTTTTTTCGAATACTTCTGAACAAAATGTCATATTTTGTCAGCAGCTTGACAATGATAAATTGTAATGTTTAATACTTTTTTTGATTTTGTGAGATACCTACTTTCTGTTTTTCGACACATTGAATTTTTCCATATATTGAATTAACTCCAAAAGTTGTGTCACACCTTTTCTAATACAACTTAACCGAATGTTTTGCATTACGAGTTAGGGTATGCTTAGCACGACAACGTGTGTATTCTTGTTTATTGTACGTCTCAACGACATTTCTGAAAACCTTACAAGAGTGTTTCGAACAAGAAACTTGTTTTTTGATTCATTATTTTTACATTCAGATTACTGTATAAATTTTAGGAACAAGAAAGGCATAGAAAAGTTTGCACCGACACCTGAAGTTGAAATGTGGAATTTATACAAAGAAAGAGAAAAACAAGATGAAATCCACGTTGACATACATAATTGATTCAAGATATTTTGTACTAATATTTGGTAGATTTTTAGATATTTTGCTCGTTCAGTTCTCTTTATCGGCATATAATGTAAGGTAGCAGACTTTCAAAATAACAATTTAACGATCTTGTATAATATTACTCATACTTATACGTTGTATTATTCATCAATTTTTACATAAATTCTTACATGTTTCCGTGCTTTTAATTTTCTTGTTGAAGCAACTGTTTAATTTGTTTTAAATTTGGTTTCATTATATCTTATAAAGAAACCTCTTTCTGTTTTGAGACTTGATAGTCGAAGGTCAAGATCAAGTTCAGTGGCCATAAATTCATTGGAAATTCAGGAAACGTTTGTTTTCAGGTAATAAGGGCCTATCGCTCGAGTCGTACATCAAATATTTATTAAACTTGGATTAAAAATGCACCAAGAAATGGTGGATATCCCATTGATTTGGGGTTGAAGATCAAGGTCACACAGCACAATTGATAGAGTGAAATTTGAGCATAATTTTGACTTTCAAATGATATCCTTTAAACCACATGTCTTACCTTCTCAAAACTTTGCTTTAAAATACCCTTTGAAAAGACCGTATTAAGTTAAAGGTCGGTAGGTCAAAGGTCTAGGTAAAAAAACTGACTATAATAAGTTTTTGTGAAAAGCTTTGTTTCGAAATATTATCTTTTGAGCCATAGATCAGACTTTTGTCAAACTTTGGTGGACAAAGTTTCCTTTGTTGTGAAAAGACGCTAATGATTTTGAGGTCACTTGGTCCCGTTACAGTGACGTCATGTATTTCAAATGTGAAGGAGAAGTTTATTAAGGAAAAATACAGGCATGACGTCCCACCGAAAGTAACGTTTTGAGGAATTTGAACGTTGAACGTCGCCGACGCCAATAGTTAGCTTCCTTGAAACTGTATTTGATGCCCCTTAAATAAACCAAAACGTGTATGCTAGATGCACCGGCTGAAATTTTATCAGAAAAGATCAAACCCAAACATTTTGAAAGCCAAAGACGCGTTAATACCTGATACGTAAGTAACTGTATCTTAATAACAAAAAGGACCTAAAAAGAGTAGCCAAATTTATTTAAGGTGAATTTTGCCTAAGGGAGTTGAAATCTTAGTACTTAATTTTGTTTTAATTTATCAAACTGAAAAATGATATATTGGTATAAATAAAAATTGAATATTGACAATTTAGATAAATAAAAGCATGAAAATGATAATGACACTTTTTATTACTAGAAAAGAGAGACGAAAGATACCAAAGGAACAGTTAAGCTCATAAGTCGAAAAAAAATTAACAACGCCATGGCAAAAAAAAGAAAAAGACCAAGTGAAACAAATTTGGTTAAAATTGATACACGTGTAAAATGTACATAATAGGTTAATTTTATTTTCATTGGTTGAGTTAGAACTGACTATGATATTTGTAAAAGGTCAATTCAAATATTTCGAACTCCAAGGAAAATTCAAATTCAAAGTCGCAATCATATAACAGAAGAGCGCCGTGAATTGGCCGATACTTTTGAACTTTTCAAAGTGTATTTTAACAATAAGCTCAAATCAGATTTGGTCCGTGAACACGACGTTATTTCCAAAAGTTAAAAGAAGAAGTTTCGCTAAAATTTAAGCACGAGGGCAATAAAATTCAACACAAATTTAACGAAGAAGTTATTACTGAGCTAAACAAGATTCATAGCTTTGTTCCCCGTTCTGAGACGAAGGTATCTCGTTTTATTATAGACCTCGTGTTCCAAAAATGTTGTATTGCATTTTGGGGTTTAATTTGTAGTAAAAGACGTATTTTATATTTTTATGTTTCTCATTAGTATCTATGATGAGTTTATTATTGATATATTGTTTGTACATTATTGCAAATTACTATGATATATATTAATGCTTTATATATTAGAGCTATGTCAATTGGACATGCTTTGATACTATATCTGCCCTTGAATTTTTACTTGATAACATTTTTGTTCGCTCTGGAGATTCCTTATATCGTCAAGTTATCGGAATTCCAATAGGCACCACTTATTGCGGACCTGTTTTTGTATTGTTATGAGATACAATTTATGACTAAAATCAGCAAAGACCCATCGAAACAACATCTGATACAAAAATTTAACAATACTTTTAGATATTTGGATGATATATTGGCTCTCAATAATGACGACTTCAGTATGTATACTAAAGAAATTTATCCTGTTGAACTTACTTTAAATAAAACTAATACTAACAATGACCACTGTCCTTTCCTCGATCTTGATATCTATATCATTAACGGGAAGCTTAATACAAAAATTTATGATAAAAGAGATGCTAGGGTCGAGATCTCAAAAAACATGTTTAACCCCGCCGCATTTTTGCGCCTGTCCAAAGTCAGGAGCCTCTGGAATTTGTTAGTCTTGTATCATTTTTAATTTTAGTTTCTTGTGTATAATTTGGAGTTTAGTATGACGTCCATTATTACTGAACTAGTATACATATTTGTTTAGGGGCCAGCTGAAGGACGCCTCCGGGTGCGGGAGTTTCTCGCTGCATTGAAGACCCATTGGTGGCCTTCGGCTGTTGTCTGCTCTATGGTCGGGTTGTTGTCTCTTTGACACATTCCCCATTTCCGTTCTCAATTTTATTTGATTTTTCATCTTATCAATTTTAGGTGTATTTCCAGAAAGAAATCGTTCATGCTAACTAAACGTCAAATTTAAAATATACTTCGCATTCACCTCGAACCATCTTTCCTGGTTTATTGTGACCACGTACACGACTGGTAAACACCAAATCTCAAACAAAAGATTGAAATGTTTTAATCGCAATCGCTTTTATACAACAGACTTGCACCTTATTTAATTTTTTATTCAAACTGCTTTGCTATGATATTTATTACTTAGCCACATTTGCAATTTGCAAAAAGTATTAGATCAAGGTTGTTTTATTCCGCTGTCTGGTAGGTTTTTAATGGTATAAGGTTAACAAATCTTTTTAAAAAATCAAGAATATTTAAATTTAAGTCAATGTATATCATGCATCAACATATTGTTAGAACAAAAAACATATTGACATGCAGACTTCTAAAGAAAATGTCCTCTAATCAAATAATTCATAGGTGACTATGTTGAACGCATCTATTCCATCGAACTTGAAATACCACAAATAAAAGTTAGTCTTTTTCATTTCTTGGATAACATGAAAAATTGACAATGCCGCTTTAGTACTTAATTTAACGACAAAAGATATGGTTTCAGCCTTCCATTTGTGAACGTTCCATTTCTATGTAGCAAAATTCCAGCAGCGCCTGTCTGTGGATGATATATCTTTACATTGACACGATATTCCAGAGCTTTATTTTCCTACGATAATTTTTTTGATAGAGGATTGCTGCTTACAAGGAAGCTATGACACAAAGGGTTCCTATTAGTTAAGTTGAAGTCATATTTTCAGACATGCATGAAATATTTGCCACTGGACGTTAAGCAACCAACCATCAATCAATATTTCCTAAAGTTTTATCAACGCTATCATCTGTATCACACATGACCACGGATGAGTTCCAATATTATAGTTATAGTCCCGTCCTCTTTTCTTCGATTATGACATCACTGAATGTGACTATCTTCGATTTTTTTCTTCATATGAGCAACACGACGGGTGTCCCTAATTGAGCAGAGCATGATCTGCTTACACTTACACACATCACCTGAGATCACTCGCAGTTTAACGTGAGGTTCGTGTTGCTTAGTCTTAATATTTTTATGTATAAGGTTTTGTATACTACTCTCTGCTTCTTTGTCGTTCTTTTTGTTCATGGTATTGACTTTTTGTTATTGTCCCCTTTGTATCGTCTGCCTCTTTTCTCAATTTAAATTTATATATTTGTATTAAATATTTATACTTTCTTTGATATAGCTATGACGTGAATTACTATACTGTTAAACATGCGTTGCTTTTGATGTTTAAGGGAGGCTAATAGAATAGGAAATGGATGCTGTATTTATTTTGGTTTTTTTTTAAATTACCTTGACACTTAGGTAAATATACGAGGGTTGTGGTAATATAATAATTGTTCTTACAAAAATTTTATAATATTTTACATCTGCGGCTGACGTATTAAGAAAATTGATATAGCTTCCAGCTAATATTTTAACAGGGTCGGGAAGTTTATCAAACCATCTTCGAATAATTCAAATATGAATTTATTCTTCCGCTCCTCGATTACTCTCTGGAGGTCATCATCGATTTTTTTAAAGGAACTTTTTTTTCGGCAACTGATGCCAGCACAAGTATATCCTCCTTATTTCTGCTGGCATACGAATTTCTGCTGGCATACGAGATTCTGCGGTCCCTCAGAAAAACTCCCGATTCGTCCCGTTTCAACTCGGTCAAGTTTTTATTGTCGCTCTTATTTCAATTTGTGTTTTATGTCGGAAATCTAAAGACGTAAACGATCCCACAATGCAACGCACTATTATGCGCCAACTGCTATGCGCGTTTTATCCTTGAAGAGATATATGGTAGTCGACAAAACGTTTTTATTGAAGCTGTCAAATCATGTCTTACACTACAAGAAATACTTTTTGAAATATTCTTTTAACATGAAAAGGGTTACTAAATGTTAGGTCTAGGATCAAAGACTCGGACTTTAATCCTCTTATAAACAGCGAAAAGCTGGGGCATGTTTATCGAAGCAGTGTTAGACATAATGCAAATTACTATGATATATATTAATGCTTTATATATTAGATCTATGTCAATTGGACATGCTTTGATACTATATCTGCCCTTGAATTTTTACTTGATAACATTTTTGTTCGCTCTGGAGATTCCGTATATCGTCAAGTTATCGGAATTCCAATAGGCACCACTTATTGCGGACCTGTTTTTGTATTGTTATGAGATACAATTTATGACTAAAATCAGCAAAGACCCATCGATACAAAAATTTAACAATACTTTTAGATATTTGGATGATATATTGGCTCTCAATAATGACGACTTCAGTATGTATACTAAAGAAATTTATCCTGTTGAACTTACTTTAAATAAAACTAATACTAACAATGACCACTGTCCTTTCCTCGATATTGATATCTATATCATTAACTGGAAGCTTAATACAAAAATTTATGATAAAAGAGATGATTTTTCATTTCCTATCGTTAATTATCCATTTTTAGATGGTGACGT